ACATACAAAGTGATGTAAAGATGATGTCGATTGGTGGAATTTTAATGATGTCATCTTTATTTGGGATAGCGATGTCACCAAGTATATATACAGTACTCATATGTATGATACCATTGGCTCTCTCCAGTGCCATAATGAGAGTTAATTCGTATAATCTAATGTTAAAGCGTGTCGAACCAAAGGAGAAAGGTGCCGTCATGGGTATCGCGGACTCACTGACATCCATTGCAAGAATGTTATCACCAGCTATTGCAGGTTTTGCTGAAGAAGTTAGTGCTATTGGACCATGTTGGATTGCTACACTTTGTGGCTTTATTGGTGTTGTAATTATGCTGAATTTAAAACAGGATGATGATAAACGCGAGAAAATTGAATAATTATAAAATAATGCTGTAATTAATTTTTCATTTCTAATTTTAAATTTAGACATGGGCATTGGTACCACATTCCAAAGAATAAGGTCTCACCACTCAATGCGCTGTACGTTTACTTAATTTGTCAAACACTTCATCCACCCACGACTGTACCATAGCTCTATTGTCTAGAAATAACTCATCAAAATTATTTCTCAAAGTTATTTCTTAAATTCTCTTAATGTTGTACAGTTTTCTAATATCTTCATGAATTAGACGTTAATAAATTGAGCTAGTTTCAAAATGAACCAATAATAAGACTCGTAATTTAGCTTTTTCTTATTTAAAATATCCCAATGTATTTCTTTAGTATAAACATTTAGAAACCGTAAGTTGAACTTTCTGTGAGAGAGAGGGGGGCAGTTAGTAGCCCGCTGCAACCTTGCCTTGATTGCTTACCTTGTTAATGTATATACTGAACAAATAGGACCGCACGATTTTAATGAAAAAAATCTGTAATAGTGGATGGACAGCCTATCGATTTTCCATACCTTAATAAACTGCGGAACGTGAACATGGTTATTTCCAAATAATTTCGTTTCAATTTTATCGATTGTCCGTTAAAATCTTTTCGTTTTTTTGTAATTTCCATTTTTCTGTCAACTGATTGCAGATTTTTTTCAGTAATTGCAATATTAACATGGTCAGGTCCAAATGCTTTTGTTCCAATTTCCATCGCTCGCTCATAAAAATCTTGCCTTTTCGTACTCTCCCATCTCATCGTAAACCTAACCCAGATTGTTGTATATTGCCGCAATATTAACATGGTCAGGTCCAAATGCTTTCGTTTCAATTTCTATCGGTTGTTTATAAAAATCTTGCTTTTTCGTACTCTCCAATATCCCTGTAAACCGCACCCAGATTGTTGTACATTGTCGCAATATTAACATGGTCAGGTCCAAATGCTTTCGTTTTAATTTCTATCTCTCGTTGATAAAAATCTTTTGCTTTTTCGTACTCTCCATATTTTTGTAAACTGAACCCGGATTATTGTACTGGGATGCTGTTCTATATCAAATTGTTATTAGCTGTCTAACGTAGTCAGAATATATTTGAGAGCTTCAAACTATGTAATATGAAGTCTCACAATTCAGAGTTTTCATCAACAAGAGTGTAGTAATTATTTAAACAAAAATCAAGTTTATAGTCTTTTCGATGGTCTTTTCTAGCCGCCATTACTGTGACCCGCGCTTACTATTCCTTTTAATTATATATAGTTCAGATGAAAATTAAGATCGATGGAAGCATAACTATTTTAGTGTTCTAATACATCAAAGATAATCAGTTTTATGGAGCAATTGAAATTGCTCAACCAATAGTGTGCTCATGTTCCATGAAGGATGTTCTAAGGTATCTATGAAAACAGTAAAAACATAAAAAGAAAGTAAATAAAAGCTACTCAAGTTTTTGCATGAATTGCCCAGTGAGATTTCTCACGCTCCAAAAATGTTTTTCTGAATTTAAGAACTTTCAGTTCTTTTCATGTTTTCTACATGACTTAAAACTTCCCACAAATCACCGATTTTACAAAGGGGGGGGGGAAGGGTAGCTGCCTCACGCCAGTTCATCATGATACCATGATTTCTGCCACTGTATACAATGAACGAGAAAAGATATAATACAATCACTTAATGCTTGGCACTCATAGACATGATTAAAGTTGCCAGAGAATTTAATTAGCATGGTTACGAGTGATAGCTATTTGGGAAAATTATGGACAAGCATGTTTTTCAATAAAATTGAGACATTTTGTTCAGAAATTATTTTAGAATTGAGAAATTATTTCATGTCTATTATTAGCTCAGAAAACAGACAGAAGATTAAGATTACAAAATTGTAATTTCTAGATTTATTAGAACGTGTAAAATATATCGTACATAAACTGCAAAAAGGGAAAAAAAGTGTTTTGACATTGGGTTAGAGACACACACAAAAAACAGTATTTATATAATTTATGAAAGCTGTAGTCTTATTTCATTTAGTTCATTTATCCTTCGAGTTAACAACAACTTAACTGTAGGGTTTGCCAAGGGTTTGTCAGACGACATGCGAGGAGTAAGGAAGTAAAACATTTACGATTTATGGTTAATGAGTTCACGGGTCTTGATTTGTGTTCACAGCAACAGTATTAAGTTGGTTCATTGTGGGTTTACAAACACTTTTACTATTTGTGAGTAAATGTCAAATTTGTTATTTATCCATAAGATATATTTTGATTCCAATTTTTATGTAATTTAACTAATACCTCATTTTTTATAAGAATCATACCCCAGTCGCGTAAGAATACGTGGAACAGTCTGTCAGCAATTTAAATTTTCAAATCTTTTTGGAGCTCATAGATACAAAAAACATCATAGTAAAGTCTGTGTGTATATATGAATATAGCTTTTGGAAACAAATCGTCTCTTTTAGTTGTTTTCATCAAAAGTTCCTTTGGGTTGAGAAACGCTTGTTTTTCACAAAAACAAATCTATAGTTGTTAACATTTTGTCATATTTTACAGATAGAATTGTGTTCACACTGCATATTTTGAAAAGTTGAATTTTATTTAAATAATCATGTACCAAAATTAATCGTAAAATTGTGTTTTATGGGTGAAATTTATCACAAAAAACTGTTTCAATCTTCCCAGTGTTGTAGAGTTTGTTATCCATTGTATGTTTTATATTGTAAATTGTAACTGTTAGTTTCTCACTTACTGCAACAATTGTATTTTGTAAAATCTGAATCAATCATCTTTTCATCTGACATGTAGGTGTTTCAATGAACTATAAATTTTGACGTTCTGTAGGCCTTTCAAAAAAGTATTCAGTCATCAGCAAAGGCTTATTTATCAGACATCACATTATCTATCAAAGACAGTATTGTGTCTTTTAGCTTTAAAAACAGTTCTTTTAGAATAGTTGGGTTGGTGTTGTGGTTTTAAACAGTGCTTTTAAGAGCTTTTGCTTTATTATTTTAAACATTCACCATGGTATTTGCTGTTTTCAAAAAATATTTTACATTTGTCACCACGACAAAGGCTCTGTTTTACTAATGATACGTTTATAATATGAATCAGAGGTTTAGAAATAAACATCGAGCGATCCTTAAGTAATTGTGAGGGTATTCCATCGAGACCTGTACCTTTGTTGAACTTCAAATTTTTTTTAAGTGTTTGAAAACTGTGGGGACTAAGACGTGATGAAAAGTGAATCCACAACCAAAATCAAATTTATCTGGAATAGGTTGACTCCAGATGCAATCTTTTATCTTAAAGTATTTTACTTTTGAAAAACTTGCAGTTGTTGAAAAATATCAGCAAACTCACTAACAATCGGGTGTTTATGGCTTGTCGTTTTTCCTTTATTTGAAATGATGTACAGGTACTTGTATTGGGGTTCTTTGACCGCATTTCTTTTCCTTTCAACCATCAACTGAAATCTGCTGAAAACACTTACTTTAAAAACCTGCTTGATGAGAATGCGTCATCTCCGGAGAATTTCTGTAAGTGCATCAAACAATTGTTTCCATCAAAGAACCCCAATCCAAGTATCTGTACATTGCTTCAAATAAACGTAATATAGCAAGAAGAGGGCATAGGTAGCAAAGTCCTTTTGACACAAGTGTGTCTTGTTAAAATTTTGCACGCAATACTATAACTGAGACAAAAGAAACATTAACACAAAATGTGCTCTGTTAATGAGACGCTGTTGTGATAGCAAGATAAACATCGTACTAGATACAGTAATTGTTAATCATTAATAGCATTCTGCGCTTTTTACTGACACATAAATTAGAAATTTTAATGAAATATATACGTTTGCGGTTTAATAAAAATCAGGGAAGGAATTCTTCCTATTTTTTTGCAAAATTGAAGTTTTTTTTGCCAGTGTTGCATAGGAAAAGAAAGCCCACGAAATGTGTCTTACTTTACAACTATATAACAGCATTTTATGTTTGTTTTCAAAATATTACAAACGTTACATGAAACTAAAATGAAGCCAGCCCGTTTGTATTTATGCAATTAAAATATATAGCTTTTTAAAAAACTTGCATTGTGTAGTTTCTGGTGAAAATTCGGAAGTCGAACTCTGTTACTCTGTATCGCTTTGTTACTCTCTATCGCTTTAGCATAGCCTCGTAATGCGTCCAAATTCATCCAAAAAACAGTATTGCTTTTTAGTTTTTATTCTTTACATGCTTTTGTAATCTTGAATTTCAAACGATTGCAATTGTGAATATCTTTGTCTAGTTAATTTTTAATGTTTTTAGAAATGATTTGCTAGAAATAATATATGCATGAATTAATGCACAAAATATGGTTCTTGGTGGCTATACAGTGAGGAATAATTTTGAGTGATTTGCCTTTATCCAATAAACATAAAGCTTTTGGCTTCAAACAAAAACGTCATTGGTTTCAACTTTCAAAAGGATTTTTAAAACGGAGAAATGAGCGAAAAGGTTAGTGCGCGAATTTTAACCTTTTTTTTCTCTCTAAGGTCTTCCTTTGTCGCCTATTACCGCCGTGAGAGTCTTAGCTAATGATAGCTTTATAACATGAACCAGTACTCAATGATTTGTTTTAGATTTCAATCACTCAGGAGATATCTAATACTGCTTTTAATATGAATTGCAGTCTACCATGTAACATGCTATAGATAGCTATATAATTAAATGAAATATAATTAAAAATGAGAAGATGTTTTAGCTACAATCAAACATCATTCGCACATTCATGAAAACAGCCACAGTTCTCTTCACCAAATAAATTTTCCAAAGCTATATCTAGTTTGAAACATAAACAGTACTCATACTCGGGGTCGCAGATCTTTTCGTAATAATACGCACCAACACCATAACAAAAAGGAATTCTTCTACCATCTTCATCATGGAAATATACCAGCACACCTGACTCACCCTTTTCAAGGAAAGTTTCATCGCACTGCACCAAAACAGCATCATCAATATCAATCCTGTTTTCAGGATCATAACAGGAATAAGAATCATTAACAATTTCTCCTTTCAAACGCCTATTGTCATATTTTTTCACTTCAACTAGCTCACGTGCTATGTTAACTCGTTCGTGCAGCTCCTCCCATACACCATTCCAAGTTGGGTTTTGTATTCCTCTTCGTCTACAATCCACTGTTTCTAAAACATTTCCATTGACTTCTATTGACAAAATGTCCGTATTCTTTTCTAAATTATAGCTGTTGAAATGCCCTAATGGACTTGGAGGCGACGTGTAGTTGTATTGATTTGTATTCAAATGTAATTTGAATTTGTTTGGGTCATTTTTGTTCTGATTTTGCATTTCATACAATGTGTCAACACCATCTCCGTTGTAACAAACATGGCAACATGTTAACGCGTAATGTATCCCGTTGTGACAACAGAACATTGTTAATGTGCCTCTTGAAACTGTCCCATTGTTACTTCCTACTTCAATCTTTGATAGCAGTTGAAGCTTCGGTGTCGTGGATGGTTTCGGACGAAATTCAAAATACCTCAAAGCATAATGTTCAAAATTCTTATTTATTTCATTTTTCAATATATCTTCATCAAAATCTCCATTATCATAATCAACTGTGATAAACAAATGTAAACACGGTATCTTCTCGTTTGGACCGACTTTTCCATACTCTCCCCGCATCCAAGGTAAACTGTAAAATAAAAAAGTGAAATGTTTAGCATGCAATCATATATGTGTAATCGAATTTTAATAGTGAACGTTAGAGGAGGGGGAGAACGTAATCAATTCTTGTTGATCGTACTTGTGCTTAATTTTACGGTAAAATACGTAATATTATTAATAACATGGCTGCGTCGAGATCTTCAGTTATCACAGGGACAGCTACTGATGTATTATCCCCTTAAACATACCATGAGGGACGAAAATATGCCCCATCAATATTAAAACCAGTGCTCCTTGTTTCCACATTTTAATCTCATTGCCTGTAGAATATATGCTGCTCCACAATTTATGTCATTGAGTGGTAACAGATGCTTGTCTTTTCTTTGCATTGGCAACTTCCTTGTCACTTACTTATGAAAACCGGTAATAAACCATGAACTACTTTGCCGGACAAAAATTAAAAACTGCTACACAAGATTTAGTTTCAAGTTGTTGATTGAGGCTATGATTGAATTCATCCTTATGTATCAACTGTAGTCTTTCTAGACCTAAATAACTGTAGAGAAAAGTTCACCTTTTGAGCTTCATACGCACATCTTTTCGAATGGCAAATCTTTTATCAAGAAACATTTCTTCAAATAAACGATCATCATTGGATTTATGACGAGAGTACTTCTTTGACGTACTATAACCAGGGTTAACATCGATGGAACTTTCTTCGTTAGAATCGTCTTTAAAACTGGCATAGTGATCAGGAAGACCTTAAAAAAACATAATATATAACTTAAAATATTTAAAGTACTGAATTTGTAAACATATTTGTTGGTTCTGGCGAACCATGGTGCGGATTGTTCAATTAACAATCTGAACAAATGTACACCAACACATGCTTTACGCACAACACAATTTAACAAAAGATGGAGTCACATGGTGTTGTCCACCAAGTCACAAAGTACATCGTGATGCAACGACGCTTTACGACTTGCAATTTAAATCAACCTTTGAAATGTCTCATATACATTTATGATTAAAGCTTTATTTCCAAAACACATGCATATCATTAGGTTTCATATCGTTATTTTATTTAAGGAGCCTGGCATTTCACCCTGCTTCTTTTGCTTGCTTTTTGGACAAACCTTTTGTTATCCGCCTTTATGAGCTTAGTGCACACGCATATAATTTTCAAACCTCAGAAGAAACTTGCTGACGAATATCGATGCATAAATACAAGTGTAGATATATAAGACTGCTAAAAAGGCAAGCCTGCTTTCCAATCATATCATGACATCGTCAAGAGAACGTACTTATTAAACATCAAATCAACTTTATACTATGACAACATCAACATAAGTTGTTGCTTATCTAAAAATCGTACCCAAGAGCTGTATCTATGGGCTATTCTATGCTGTTTTTCATTAACACTCCGGAATCTACCTTACTCAGAAAAGGATGCTCGCATTCAGTGGTGACAACGTTCTTTAGAGCATCTGTGTCTAAGCTGACGTCCGAAATGTTTCTACACTTCCTTTTTAAATCTTTTGCTTATCTTCAATTATTTCCCATATTGTTTCCAGTCAGGCTCTATGATGCCATTAAAAGTGCAAAAAATCTTTTTATCATCAACTACTTAAATGTCATAAGGTCAGTGGTTTGTTAAATGTTTATTTTTTTAATGTGTATATTGCATTAAAAGCAACAAGCACATATTTTTATCTATTGCTTTATCTCTTTGAGTTCTTACAAAATATAAAATTTGTTACCAGATCGTGACCGCTTTACAGTGTCGAAGCGTATTGTTTCTTATCTTTGTTTCAAAACATTGTGACAGTACCTTGTGCCTTTGTTTCACACTCATCTTCAATATTTCCTCTCGTGGGATTTGGACCTTTCTCCCTTTTTATGACTTCTATGTCTTGTGACCAACGAAATTGCGATTTCTCTTGTGGTTCCGGTATAAATTCAAAGTAATGAGAAGCTTTCCATCCAAAAGTTTCATCAATTTCTTTTCTTAATGCATCTTCATCATTTTGTCTTTCTGCTGCTACAGTCACAAACAAAGAAAGACGAGGTTTCCACCGTACACCATATCCACCACAAATCCAAGAAAAACTATAAAATATTATTTTAAAAGTCAAACAAATATTGAAAACAATTAAATTTAATACATATTCATGTATTTAATTTCATATTCATGATACAATAAATCAAAGTAGTGTCGTTCAGAGGTTACTATAGCGTTGGAAAATTTTGATACTGATATTATAGCAGTAAACTTAATTCAACAGTCGCTTATAAAGACTCTGTATAATAAACAGAGTATCTTTACCGCTTAATTTGGTACGTCTTTGGTACAGCAAATAATGAAATTTTTGAAAATGGAAAATGCAAAATGTTTTACCAGTGAAAATACCGTTGTTAAAAGTCCTTCAAAACAGGCTTTGTGTACGAAAAATTTATCGGAGAACAATTCATTCACTTTGAGTAAAAATAAGGACTGTTTTGCACAAGCTATCAAAATTTTAAGCAATTTGGGGCAAGCGCTGGCCATCGCCAGTTCTTTAAAACTTGATTTTTTTTTGCGTTTTTGACTTTTAAAACAAAGTTTAATCACATCATCCCAAATTAATTATATGCATTTCGGAATTTGTCATAAAGTACAATATGAAATTAGCAAGCCAGTTACCATACGTATGAATGTTGCAGATAATAAAACTTAGCTAGTGTGAAAATAACATGGACAGCTTTTGATGTAATATATTATCATATCAAATATCATCCAAAATCCTCATATTGTAAAAGCTTTTACAATATGAGTTTAATGAAAACCGTTACTATTCAGTCTAAAACAAAACCCGTCAATAGTTGATTGTTTACGAAATTAATATGTTAACCTAGGGTTAAGAAATTCAATGCACCTAGCGAGTAGGGTTAAAGTTAATCCTTGTTTTAACACTAACCGAAGTTTGAGCAACGTAAATTAAACCATAATAAACCTACTTGTCTATCAAGTGGTAGTGAAAATTTTTCGAGTTTGCAAATTTTTTGTTTTTAATAAAAACCGATGATGTCATCAACAATAAAACGTAAATTTTTGCTTAGTGTGCGCACTTATCTTAACGAAATATTAAATTTAGAGGAAGTGTAGAAACGATTTATCGAGACTTACCTCTTTAATTTGTCAAGAATCTCATCTCGAATATCGTTATGTTCGTTAAGAAAATTTTTGATAAAGAAATCATCATTGTTCTTTACATCATCAATGGGAGGTACATAATGCTTCTTCACGGTATCAACTGTGAGATCTAAATCTTTCGTTGCTTTTATGAAAAGTCCCATGTCTATAACAACAATTGTAATGATTATTAGTTGGTAAAAAGTTTACGAGGATTACCTAATCAGTAAACTAGCGATGTCAAACATGCATACATGATTTTTCACAAAAGTACTTTTATCTAAAGCTGACGAATTAAGGTTCAAGTTAATTTGAAAAATACATTTTCATACATTGATAATGTTTGCGTTAAACACTGAATGTTTTGACGCATATTCAAAACGTTCATCAAAAAGTAACTTGTACATGTATCTCAATTTAAAAAAAAGAACAATACACAGGGTGTATAAAAAAAACTGAACATTTTGGAAAACATCACCAAAGTCATCAGTGCGCAAGATTTGCAAGAATCTTTGGAGAAAATATTTAGTTGGACTTTCAACATTTAATCTGACAGCAAAATTTTTGCAAGTAGCTAAGAACCATTATTAGAGTGAAAATTGTGTTATTAAGAAGTATATATGAAATGGCTTGCGCACAAAAATGACACAGCTTAAAAAGCAATTGAAACACATAGGGTGAAAATTTTGCACATGTTGCTCAAGCTAACAAAGTTTTAGGAAATTTGACTGATGTGTATGCGAACACTTAGCTTTCAAAAAACGGATTATTTTAAATTTTTCGTTTCCGCTATTATATTATAATCCTCATCAATTATGCGGAAATTTTAGGGTAAATTAATTCAAATATGAAAAATTGATGAAGGTTTTAAGAATACTTTGCTGTCAGATATGGCATTGGAAGTGCAACTACCTATTTAATCAAAGCTCGCTGATAACTTTAGCGACGTTTTCCTATCTTTTCAGGTTTTTTGATACACTTGTAGAGTAAAAAATAAATCATTAAAAATAGGTACGAAATGCGTACAAGTGGGTAGCCCGTGAAGTATATATACGGCCACAAAAATAAATTGATGAAGGTATTTTAAACACCCTATATTTTAAACTGATATAATTTACACCAAACTTGTTCAAGGTTTAAAAATTTGCTTTGTGCTCACTGTTTTGTCATATGACCCAGTAACGTTCAAACTTTTCTGTATTTTCCGAACGCCCTCCCATAGATTGCGAGAGGTAACGTGACTGTGGTCACATCAAGGAAAATGCAGCGATTCTTACAAATTTCAATGATAAATTCATTTTCATCTTTACCGAACTCAATTTTTTGCAATCGATTTTTCAAATTTCTAACGTCTATGAGATGTCGTTCAACGGACTTTGTTGTTACACCAAAAACATTTTCACAACAACTATGACTACGACAATTTTGGTCTAATATTTCATCTTTAAAGTGCTACTGAGATGAAATTTTCATATATCATTTTTTGACACTAACGTTTTCCCTGCATTTACTCATCATTTTGAGCTATCGCACACTGAATTTGGTCAACGGGAAAGCATCGAAATTTGCGTTTGAATATGACATATTTCCTTGTTTTGATGCGAACTTCAATTTCAGCGCGTGACGTCATTTAAAGGACGGAAGAAAAATTTTAAAGCTATTAACTTAATAAAATATATAGGAACCAGAACATTTCCAAAATGAGTTTTACATTTTTATATGAGATTTCTTTGCAAAAATGGAGTAATACGAATAAGTGAACAATATATACAATCCGTTATACTTTATAAACTTCTAAAATAAACTTATAATTCTCCGCATCCTTGCGCAATCTGTGGTTTAATACACACGCAATGTTATCGAAACTAACTGCAATTCGCTTAGTTCCAATTTATTGTAGTCTTATAAACTTCTCCACAAGACTTATAATTCTCGAAGAAATGGATGCCTTCCTTTACGAGGTCTGTGGTTTTGTAACCCAAGCAATACCAAAATGCACATAGAATAAGGGAATTTTTTACGAAGTTAGTAACATAACGATACACTGGAAGTAAAAATATTGCGAGTGCGCAAAATTCGGCAAAAAAGCGTCGATGAGGACAATATTGTGTTGCTGGTTGGCCTAACGGAAAATGTTGTACAAACAGTAAACACAGAGAAGGTGTCTTAGTACATCGTTTTCCCATGAAAGACAAAGATAGGCTGAGTATATGGACAAAAGTGGTAAGGAGACATGGACTAAAATTGTTCCTTAGCAGTACTCGGTACTATGTTTCATGCATTTCGCTGATTCTGCATTCACCGTAAACGCAGCGGTTGCAAAATCACTAAATATGAGACGACAAATGACAATTGAATAGGAAAAAACTTTCTGCAACACCATTGTTTCCCTCATGTAAGTTGTTCATGATAACATGTATGGCAATTATGACCAGTGTTATCTAAAAGTAAAAAGATTTAAATTGTTATTTGGTAGATCAGCAACAAGATTTAATGCAAGCAAATAGTTTGAACAAAGTTTTAAACAAACTGCTTCAACAGATCGTTCACATGAAAAGAAAGAGCGCTTGTGCAAAAAGTGTGGACAGCCCATGAAAGGACATCCAAAAAGTCATTGATCACAAGAATTATTTGACAAATAAAATAATCTACTATGCTATGAGGATTAAATTGTTCTCGGATGTCTGTGTAGATGCATGCAGGTAAACATCCGAGTAGCGATCCATGACAAGATTTTGATCTTTCCTTACAAAACAAAATTAGAAATTAAAATGTACTAACTATTTTTATGTATTCCACGACGCTTCCGTCTTGATCTCTTTGAGGTGGGCCAAAATTGTTTAAGACAGTAGCATGTGTCAATGTCATAATGGTGTACTCTTCGTGAAGAGTAACACAGCTAATTTTTTCAATGCTACCATCAAATACCAGTTCATGTCAAGTACGCCCAACCTCTCTATACAACATCGTTGTTCAAATAGCATCAGTCACCAGTTGAGTAAGACACAAGCTACTTGCACACCTATAAAATAAGATGTTTGTTGTTGTATTTGCACACCATGACATATGGACAAAATACTATTTTGAATTTCTTATAGAGTTCCAATAACACATATCAACTTACCAATTATCTAATTGAACAGCTCCTTCGAACTTCGCTTCTAATGTTTGAGGTTCTAAGCCATCAGCGTCTTCGTCGACCTACAATTCTCTCCGACTGTGTTCGCTGGAGGTTCATTTTCGTACGAATTAACAATTGATTTAGCCACTATTGCATCCTCAACGACGAAGTTCGAAAGTAAATTTTCATTTGCTATATCAGAGTTTTCAGTATCCGAACCGCATTCACTTTTACTGCTTGATTTCAGTCAAACAGTCAGGAAAAAAGATTCGATTTAGTGGGATGTACATACATTTTGTTATATAAAAAATGATGATAGACAGGCTTCATTGAAAGAGCAATCGCACTTAAATGAAAAAAATAGTTGAATATACGAATACTTACTCCCGTCTGATTTGGCGTAAAGAGTTTAATATTTTACCCCTGATACCAAGAGCCGTTTGTTTTATACTGGTAAAACAACTTGAAGTAACAGAACAATTCGATTGTACTGATACAAAAAACGCAACGTGAGCTTATTTCTCAAAAACATCCGTTTTAACAGTTTTCAAAAACTTCAGAAACACTTAGCTAATACAAAATGACAAATAAGCTGTTCTGCGCAATATTTAAGTTTTCGACAACTGCTATGTCTTTGTTTTACTGTAGTTTCACCTTTTAATTTTTTAAAAAGTCACTTGTTTTCATTTTTTAAAAAATCAACAAATCATAATTTCAAATTTCAGTGGAAAATAGCACGAAATCATCAGATTTTATGATTATCATTTGTCTTACTTATGTTACACTTACTTTTCTCATCAGCACCAATTAAATTGGTTAAAATTTTCATTGCTCGTTCATAAAAATCTTTTGCTTTTTCGTACTCTCCCATATTATAGTAAACCGAACACAGATTGTTGTACGTCGTCGCAATATAGACATCGTCAGGTTCAAATGCTTTTGCTTGAATTTCTATGGCACATTCATAAAAATCTCTTGCTTTTTCGTACTCTCCCATATCTCTGTAAACTGAACCCAGATTGTTGTACATAGCTGCAATATCAACATGGTCAGGCCCAAATGTTCTCGTTTCAATTTCTATCGCTCGTTCATAAAAATCTTTTGCTTTTTCGTACTCTCCCATATCTCTGTAAACCAAACCCAGATTGTTGTACGTTGTCGCAATATTAACATGGTCAGGTCCAAATGCTTTTGTTTCAATTTTCATCGCTCGTTCATAAAAATCTTTCGCTTTTTCGTACTCTCCCATGTCTCTGTAAACCAAACCCAGATTGTTGTACGTTGTTGCAATATTAACATGGTCAGGTCCAAATGCTTTTGTTTTAATTTCTATCATTCGTTCATAAAAATCTTTTGCTTTTTCGTACTCTCCCATATCTCTGTAAACTGAGCCCAGATTGTTGTACATAGCTGCAATATCAACATGGTCAGGCCCAAATGTTCTCGTTTCAATTTCTATCGCTCGTTCATAAAAATCTTTTGCTTTTTCGTACTCTCCCATATCTCTGTAAACCAAACCCAGATTGTTGTACGTTGTCGCAATATTAACATGGTCAGGTCCAAATGCTTTTGTTTCAATTTTCATCGCTCGTTCATAAAAATCTTTCGCTTTTTCGTACTCTCCCATGTCTCTGTAAACCAAACCCAGATTGTTGTACGTTGTTGCAATATTAACATGGTCAGGTCCAAATGCTTTTGTTTTAATTTCTATCGTTCGTTCATAAAAATCTTTTGCTTTTTCGTACTCTCCCATATCTCTGTAAACTGAACCCAGATTGTTGTACATAGCTGCAATATCAACATGGTCAGGCCCAAATGTTCTCGTTTCAATTTCTATCGCTCGTTCATAAAAATCTTTTGCTTTTTCGTACTCTCCCATATAACTGTAAACCAAACCCAGATTGTTGTATGTTGTCGCAATATTAACATGGTCAGGTCCAAATGCTTTTGTTTCAATTTTCATCGCTCGTTCATAAAAATCTTTTGCTTTTTCGTACTCTCCCATATCTCTGTAAACCAAACCCAGATTGTTGTACGTTGTCGCAATATTAACATGGTCAGGTCCAAATGCTTTCGTTTCAAGTTCTATCGCTCGTTCATAAAAATCTTTTGCCTTTTCGTACTCTCCCATACCTTGGTAAACAGAACCCAAATTGTTGTACGTTGCTGCCATATTAACATGGTCAGCTCCAAATGCTTTTGTTTTTATTTCTATCGTTCGTTCATAAAAATCTTTTGCTTTTTCGTACTCTCCCATATTACTGTAAACCAAACCCAGATTGTTGTATGTTGTCGCAATATTAACATGGTCAGGTCCAAATGCTTTCGTTTCAATTTCGATCGCTCGTTCATAAAAATCTTTTGCTTTTTCGTACTCTCCCATATCTTCGTAAACTGAACCCAGATTGTTGTACGTTGACGCAATATAGACATGATCAGGTTCAAATGCTTTTGCTTGAATTTCTATGGCACGTTCATAAAAATCCTTTGCTTTTTCGTACTCTCCCATATCTCTGTAAACTGAACCCAGATTGTTGTACATAGCTGCAATATCAACATGGTCAAGCCCAAATGTTCTCGTTTCAATTTCTATCGCTCGTTCATAAAAATCTTTTGCTTTTTCGTACTCTCCCATTTTACTGTAAACCAAACCCAGATTGTTATACGTTGTCGCAATATTAACATGGTCAGGTCCAAATGCTTTCGTTTCAATTCCTATCGCTCGTTCATAAAAATCTATTGCTTTTTCGTACTCTCCCATACCTTGGTAAACAGAACCCAGATTGTTGTACGTTGCTGCCATATTAACATGGTCAGCTCCAAATGCTTTTGTTTTTATTTCTATCGTTCGTTCATAAAAATCTTTTGCTTTTTCGTACTCTCCCATATTACTGTAAACCGAACCGAGATTGTTGTATGTTGTCGCAATATTAACATGGTCAGGTCCAAATGCTTTCGTTTCAATTTCGATCGCACGTTCATAAAAATCTTTTGCTTTTTCGTACTCTCCCATATCTTTGTAAACTGAACCCAGATTGTAATACGTTGTCAAAATGTTAACATGGCTGGGTCCAATTGTTTTCGTTTCAATTTCCATCGAACGTTTATAAAAATCTTTTGCTTTTTCGTACTCTCTCATTTTATTGTAAACAAAACCCAGATTGTTGTACGTTGTCGCAATGTTAACATGGTCAGGTCCAAATGCTTTTGTTTGAATTTCTTTCGCTCGTTCATGAAAATCTTTTGCTTTATTGTACTCTCCCATTTCGCTGTAAATCAAACCAAGATTGTTGTACGTTGTGGCAATATTAACATGGTCAGGTCCAAATGCTTTTGTTTCAATTTTTATCGCTCGTTCAAGAAAATCTTTTGCTTTTCTGTATTCACCATTCTTCAAAAGGAATGAAACCAGCTTTTTGTACGAATTTGAAACATCAATATGATCAACACCCCACACTTTAGTTTGAATTTCTGTTATTTCATAAAGTACTTCACTTGCCAGATTAAAGACACGGAATTTTTCCAAAATATCTACAAAGTAATTGGCAATTTTCCAATTTCTTTCATCGAGTTTTTGCTTAGATGATTTTAAATCGATCAACTTACTAAGGAAATGCTGAAATGACGAATTCTTTATGAATTTAACTAGATGTGGAATTATTTTGATTTGATCTTCTCTGCTTTCAAATTGAAAAAGTGCCCAAGCAACTTGACAGGCAAGATCAGCTAAAGACAACTTAAATTTGCTTTTTTCCTGCCAAGAACAGTAGGCAATGATGGCTTCGTGTACAACGCTGTGCAGGCGGATGTTGTTGTTTTCCGATTGAAGGAATAAAGAACAATGCTTTAATTGAAGACAGACATCTTCTGCAGATTTTTGTGGATCAATGCTTTTAATAAATTGTATTATAACATCTTGTGGTAACGGATCAAAAGATATTATTGAGAAAAGTTTAAAAACATGTTCCAACAAGATGGATTCTTGAGCACTTTTTTGTATTGCTAACATAACAGTTTTCATTCCTAAGTAAGATGTGTTAATTTTTTGAAAATTGGCATCCATGTTCTGTCGCTCTCCTTCATTCAACTTATCAAAATATTGTTCCCACGTGAATGTCGGATTTACACTTTTTACTTCACCTACGTAGGAAGCAGCATTTGCCAGGAACAACGGTTGACGATCTAATTCGTCTGATAAATCATTTAAAATTTTTTCATCTTTATTATGAATATCAGAAAAGAAAGATAGAAGTTGTCGACATTCTTCATTGTTCATACCATGACTAACTGAAATGTGTTTATTTAGATTTCCATCTGGTGGTTTAGCATCTGTATTTTGAACAGTTACTACAATTTGTCCATTTTTCCAACTATGATCACCAACTTGAGGTAATAATGGATAAATTTTATCAAGTTCAACCACGTTATCTACAACAATCCACCATGTTTGCCATGATTTCAGTTGCTGTGTCAGCAATAATTGAAAATCTTTGATTTTGTTTTCGCTGCTTTTTGCTTCTTTTAAAATATTTTCAATGACAGTTTTATCATTGTTTAATCGTTGATAAAGTTCAGCATAAGTTTTCAAAAGAGAGTCGATATCTTTTCCTTCAAGTGTCATAACAAATGTTGTTTTATTTTCCCAGTCAAACGAATTATACATTTCTTCACAAACTTGTCTAGCTAATTGAGATTTACCACTGCCAGGATTACCAGAAATATAGTAATATGTTAGTTCATTTTTGTTAGTACTGCGCAAGTTGTTGAGATCTGCTGTGATTTGATTAAGTAACTCTGTACGTTTAACGACATCGTGATTTGGTTTGCAAGGAAGTACTTGAAAAGAACTAAACTTGTTTCTTTGACTTTTTATTTCATTAATTTCATTAAATGAAAATCCTAGGTCTTTAAACGACTTTTCAATATCACAAAGCATGGTTTGAAATTCGTTATCAGAAACTTTTCCTTTATTTTCATGGATGAAGTTGTTTCTGATAACACGAAGTTTATCCACAGCAGCCTTAGATTTTGGGTCAAGTTTTGTTCCAACTGAGTTGGAAAACAAAATTGCTGCAAATAGTGTCGTACAATCCCAATTACTGGTGTCACCCACTTGAAACTTTGACAAAATATGTTTGTCTAAAGGTTTCTTTTTTGTTCTTTCAATATTCAACAACTTCTGACCACTAACGTTTGTATTATCCCATACCCCGTGGGAGTTTTTGTAATTAGTGTTCCACTCTTTGATAAATAAATCAACAAGTTTCTTCGTAACAACATCTGAAAGTATTTTCTGAATGTAGTAGTTATTCCTTTCTTGTCTTGACTCCATCTACGGGAAATAAAAGAAGATTTAGATAAACATCATTTGTTTTTCAATTCTAATTAATGGACAAAGAAAATAGTTGAATGAAGTTTGATTAGTTAAAGTTTCAGATTCACATACATGTAAGTAGTTGTAACGAGTATGGCAGTAGAAAACTGTCAAAGGCTTGTTGGAAATATGATAGTTATACTCAGAGTAAAATAATTTGTGACAAGCAATGAGCCCAGCCAATAGTAAGTGAGAAAAAAGAAATGTTAAGTAAGCTATAAGTTAAGTTATTATTTTATATTATTTTCTGGAAATATGATCGGGGGAAATATGTTCAATACCACAATTTCCATCTAAATGAAGTTTGTGACTGTGAAGTGTTGAAAGAAACTTAGGAGGAGGCCTCTAATAAAAAACAACAGTAGTCATCCTGCAATTAGGTATTTGTGGGGCAGTCGGACATTTTGTTCAGTTTTATCCCCCTTTAAATAAAATAGTGTATCATATTGCAAGCATCATTTCCGCCAAAATGGCGCACTTTGATTGGCTCAGCAACGTTTTTGCCGGTCCATTATTTTCCCGTATTGGACCGGCGGTCCAATGCGAGTAATTTTCCAATTAAAACGTAAACAAAATTCGTCAAACAAAGAGAAAAAAACGCAAAAAAAACGCATCAAAAAATATAAGTCGAAGAAAAACACTCGAAAAGTGAGTTGAATTATTCAGACAACATAATTTCAAACGATTTATTTCTTACTGACGAAAACTAGAGTAGTGAAAGCCAGCCCGTACAAAACAGCGAGAACAAGAAAAAAAAGAAAGCTTCCCTTAAAACCTTATTTTCTTGTTCTTTACTGAGAATTTATTACAGTCGATTGTTGCAACGGAGTGATATGAAAAGTACAAATGAATGCCATAAAACGTAAAATTTGCTGCTTTCTTTAGGATGAATTGAAAAATTTCCTAATAAAAAATTTCCTTGTGGGTTGAGGGGGGGAGAGGGGGTACAAGGTGTCAAGTCAATTTGGCCAAAGTGAAGTGAAAATATATTTATTTATTATGTTAACCCTGCGCTTCAAAAGCAAATAAATCGTTTGTACAGCAACCATTATACTGTCAACATCCTATGTTTTCGTATACCAGAATTTAAAATTTCGAAGTGACAAAAAAGTGTGATGGCAAGTCTGGAATGGAAGCTTTCATATTTAAACTGGTAAATCAGGTTACGCTCAACATGGTCGCCAATTTGATTTTCTGTAAGCACTAAAGAAAAGCATATTTCTCTTAATGAAAGAATAAGATTACTTTTTATCAAAACAAACAGCAAAATGCATACAAGAATGTGTGTGCAGAAGTTGATTATTATCAGGTTCATCATCTGTGGTCATGTTATTGCACTGGAAGAGCACATGTCAGTTCATTTAAATCCTGCTTTCAGTCAACGACAATTTTCTACTCAACAAGATCTTTTTCACGTATACAAAAGCAGTTCTAAATTTCCTCTTGCACAAGCCTTGGACCCTAAATTTTTTTCTGGCGCATAACTTTTCCTTTCTTAGCACAGTAAAGCCCTTATCGTAGCATATCGACATTCTGAGCTTTGTGCAATTTTTTAACGAATAAACTTCTCAGAATCATTGAAAATACTTTCTGAAATTCTACCTCCTAATTTTGCCATTCTGACGTTCTTCATGAGAATTTAACTTGGTCTTAATTTACCTACATATAAATGGCAAAAAGCCCCAGAATGTCATTATGTTAGGATAAGAGCCTTACTTGTCTAAGGCACAAAAAGGTGAACAGAAACTCTTTTGTTAAGAACAGAAGCTCTTTTGTTAAGAACAACGTGTGTGAAGAAGATATTTGTATCATTATGACGTCACACACGACGTCATTTGTCTAAACTTTCCTATTAGTTATTTTTGCATTTTTATTGTGTACATGGGTGGAAAATTATCAATGAATCTTATAAAAGCACGTTTGAAATTGTGTGTTTGGGACAAAGGCCTGTGCCAAACGAAATTTAGAATTGCTTTCGTGTGCATGCAAAATGTCTTGTACCGAAGAATATTAATTGTTATTTAAAAGAATATTAAGTTGTTTATCCCAAAACCTAAAACAGATTATTTAAAGCGTTCCTTCTCATACAGTAGACCTTATCTTTGGAAAAGCTAGCCTGAGCCACTTAGGTTATCTTTATATCAATAATATGGGTTCCATAATATTTATAAGAATGTAAATAACAGTTCATTTAGGCAAAACAATTCTTAAGAAAATGATGTTGTTCTTTTACATTTAATGTTCAAACATTGAAGAAGGCTATATTTACTCAGAAATGTTATTTTAATTCGGGTAAGTATCTTTAAGCACAACAAAAATGCAAAAATAGCTAAAAGGAAAGTTTAGACAAATGACGTCATGTGTGACGTCATAATGATACAAATATCTTCTTCACACACATTTTGGTATGCTGGAATTTTCTTCACAAAATTAAGTCTTATTCTTCGTTTAACACAAACATGTATTTTCTTTAGTACTTATAAGATATCAAAATGGCGGGAATGCTAAGCGCAGCCATGAGCGTAACCTGACTGACTTAACATGCCACTTTTTTATATGAAAGTTACTATCCCAGACTTGACATCATACATTTTGTACTCTTGATTAATCAAAAATCATTGAGCTTTGGTTGTTCCCATAGTGTATATAAATATTAGACTCAAAATTTTGAGGTTCGGCTGATTAGCTAGACATGTCTAACACGCGGTTTAGGATGTAGCAAATGAATAAGAAAACAAAATTGTTCTATTTCTTGACAAGAGACATGTCAGAAAAA